AAAGCTTCCCACATATTGCAATCTTAGACCCAATGACTGGAGAAAGATTGAAGGTCTGGAGTACTGTGCCTGATATTAGTGATTGGATTGAACAAGTGGTTGACTTTTTGAGCTCTCACTCTCTTCCAGGCGCAACCGGATCTGTCACACCACTACCACAACAAAGATCAAATCAAGCTGAATTGATTTCCCTGGACTCTGCTTGGGAAGATGCTGAAGAAGATGGTAGCGAAGAAGAATTTGCTCCAGCATCATCTGACCCTGACTCTGAGGGCTCTTCTATTCAAGTTATAGATAACGACTCAACGCTTGCCATAAAAGCCATTGAAAATGAGGAGCCTCCACAAGGTCCCAGTTCAACCAGAATTCAAATACGTACATCTGATGGTAAACGAGTTGTCCGCAGATTTTTATCAACAGACACTGTTCGCAGCCTTTTCGAATTTGTCAAATTTTACTTCAAGGATATTATAGAGAATCATGAATTCCAACTTACAAGCCAAAGGGTCAATCTCTTTGAATCTTTAGGTAACACTATCGAGGAAGCCAACTTGAAGAATGCATCAGTGTTGCTAGAAGTTATAAAAGATTAAAATACATTGTTTGTCGCTATCGGTTCAACTTCCCTGTTTGTATTATTTATTACCTTTAATTTTCTGTGCTAATTTGTCCATTACCTCTTCTTTCAAGATTGGAACTTTTTCATCCTGAATGTTCTTAGTGGATAACATTTTGTACTTTATGTATCTTTGCAGTGCAAAGGTCCCTCCAGCCATTTTTGCAAAGATTAGAACTGATGCTTGATGTTTTGTCAATTTTCGGAGATATTTCTTCAGGAACGGAACGAAATACTCCATTTGAATACCACTAGATCCTTGAGCGACGTTGATAAATTCTTTGCAAAGATACTCATATTGCTTATTCGAAATGGGATAAGAACCCAGAAATAAAGGCTTGGATCTTTTTTCTTTAAGAAATCTTTCAGAATCTGTGAGTACTTCCTCCAAATTTTCTGAGTGAAAGATCAGTTTTTTCCTTTTAATACCATTTTTAGGGTAAGGAACGGCAATATACCTTTTCAATTCAAACTTGCCTTTGGTCTTGTCTATCCTTAAGTAGCTTCTATCGGCCAAGGATACCCCCCAAGAATCGATTCCCAATTGTATCCATGGGAGTGAATGTTGCTTATAGAGTTTGTATTCTATGGATCTCTGATTTTCCTTGGAAAGGTTTTTGGGGATAGAATCAATATAACTGGTTATATCATTGAAAGACGTATACCGTAAATAATCTGGAACTTCTTCAAGCATTTTGGAGTAATCCCTGTTGCCGTGAACGATCTCTTGATCGAACTTCAAAAGGGAATTCATTTGGCGTTTCGTTATTCCTTCCAAAGTGGCATCAACGTTGATACCAGAATGAGTAGTACCTACAAAGTCGGTAACGTAACATTTGGTCTTTCCTGAATGAAGTCTTAAACCTCTGCCTATCATCTGACTTAGCAAAGGTCGGGATTTTGTGGGGCGTAAAAGGAAAATCGAATCAATATTAGGGATGTCTGTACCTTCCGTGAAAACATTACAATTCATCAAGACATTGAGTTTTCCATCAACGAAATTCCTGATTATCTGTTCTCTCTCTAACAGGGGAGTGTTGCCAGAGACAAACCCGGCTTTAATGCCGTTTGCGCAAAATAACTCACAAAGGTCTTGTACGTGCTGTTTGTTCACGCAAAAGAATAGGGAAGATTTTAACCCGAGCACTTTTTTCCTTTCAAGGTAAGTCTTCAGAACAAGTTCTGCAACATCTGGTGTATTCACAGATGATTCTAAACTTTGCAATTGATAGTCGCCAGACTTATCTATTTTGACACCATCCAAAGAGAATGCACCTTCGACTTTGGTGATGGACAATTCTGACAAATACCCTTCTTTAACCATAGATATCAGATCTTTTTCATATGCAATGGTGTTGAACACTTTATCCAAAGGCTGTGCATCGTGTCTTTTCAATGTAGCTGAAAATCCAACCACAATAATCCCATCAGAATAGTCTTTCGATAACGCATTAAAATACTGAAATATTTTGATATAGGAGTCAGAAATTGCATGATGACATTCATCAACAATGATCGCTTTGAACTCAGTAGGGTCATAATCAAACAAGCGTGGATTCTTGCTGTTATTTCTTGCCAAAGTGGGCACTGAAGCTACAACCACATCAACATCGTCATCATGTGTTGGCCTAAAGCCTGCCATATCTATCTCTACTTTCATGTGTGGGAAGAAACGTTTGATAGTTCTGGCAGCTTGGTCAGCCAGTTCCTTTCTATGCACAAGAATCAGCGTTTTTCGTCCGTTGTACTTGTTGCTGGGTATTTCATTCAACAAGTTAGAAAAAATAACTGTTTTACCACCGCCTGTAGCCAAACTGACGGCCAATCTAGTTTCACCACCCTTAATGACTTTCATTATAGATTCAATACAGTCTTTCTGATACGGACGAAGACGGACTGTAGACGGTGTTTCCAATTCTCCTGCTGCCAATCTATCTGATGCTGTGGCAGATCGTACCCTTGTGCTGCAGACTTGCCGTATTAATCCAGATCTTTGACCAAGACTCAGCAAACATGGTTGTCGAAAATGAAGTCTTGATATTCGGCTGAGTTGGCTGAGTATCATGGCCACTTGGAGCTACAATGGTGAAAGATCAACGTGGGGCAGGTAGAAATCGGAATTCGTTATATATGGGTTATACAGATAATAATGGGGGAGTATTTCTAGAAAAGGCAACATCATGGATAGACGATCTAGAGTAAAAAATGGATTAGCTTTACGGGGTTTGATGGGGACAAGTGTATACAGGGGTAGGAAGAAAAGATTTAAAGCGTGCTCCAAATATCGTTTTCATCTCTGAAGCCTGTTTTACTCTTTGATTGTGTGTTTTAGGGAGAATACTCTTGGTAGTGATTTGTAGGGGCATCGCGCCAGATTAGAGATCGAATCCACTCGCGCAAGGTTAGAAGGATCCAAGGCCCCACAGTTCCTATCTTTCCCAGGTTGATGCTTCGACAACACCTTCTCTTCCTTCATGTCTCAACGTGAAAAGGTTCAGAGGTCGTTGTTCACGTATTACAAAATCAATGAAAAGAAAAACGTTGCCTATACAAATAATCTGGTGAAGGATTTTATCCGAGAAACGAGCTCAGTGATTGACTTGCTCAGTGATGACGAGATTGCTAATGAGGTTGTAGCCTCTGCATGCTGCAGTAATGATAATGACAAAGATAACGAAATACCATCCATGGTTGATCAGGGCAAGAATGAAGGGGAAACTGTAATAACTAGTTCAACTACAGCAAGCATATCCGTGAAGCAAGAAAATGGATTGTTCGTTGTTTCTGATGAAGAGCAAGGAGTAGCCTTTGAAGAGGCAGAAAGTTTCGATATAGTAAAACAAGAAGACAAGATTGAATCTGATCTCACCCAAGGTCCTGATTTTTTAGGCTGTCCACAGCAAATGATTGAAGATGTGAAATGCCCAATCTGTGAGATTCATCTTGACAAACTGTCCATTCAAGAAAGAACCACCCACGTCGATGGATGCTTGTTTCAAACTTCTACTAAACTTGTCTACAAATCATTAAAGGCTGCTCCAAAGTTGAAAGTTAAGAAACTCAAATCAACACCCAAATTAACATCTGAGGAACGAATTGAAAAATCAATAGATGCCATAAAGAACAGAGTAAAGCAGATACCGGATGTTAAAATCCTAAACTTCACCTCATGCAAATTTGCAGTTGATGCCTTCTGCTATGGTCAACATCCCGAGATAACACACTATTTTCTATCTCACTTCCACGCTGATCATTACATGGGTATCACAAAAAATTGGCACAATGGAATAATATACTGTTCTAGGATAACTGCTGAATTGCTAGTCCTCAAGTACAACGTATCAGAAGAAATTATAAGAATTCTCTCGTTTAATGAGAAAGTAGAAATTGAGGATACGCAGGTGCAAGTAACTATGATGGATGCTAACCACTGTCCTGGTAGTAGCATTTTTCTTTTCAAAGACTCGAAAGAGCACTGCATTCTTCATTGTGGAGATTTCCGAATCAACAAAGAAATGATACAGAAGTTGATTTCCTATAAAATCAATGAAATTTACTTAGATACCACCTACTTGGATCCTACTTACAACTTTCCCAAGCAGGAGAATGTTATTGAAGTGGTAAGCACCTTCTGTGAGAATATATTCAATGGTGTTTACCAACATCCACTACAGCAACGAATTACTGACTTCTTCACATTTCGGAAACGCTCCAATACTTTGAAGCCCTTGATATGCGTTGGCACCTATACAATTGGTAAAGAGAGGATCGCCATAGACATAGCAAAGAGGCTCAAAACGAAATTGTATGCGCAATCATCCAAAAGGGAGATTCTTAATACTTTCCACTGGGAAGAGTTAGATGCACTTCTCACTAGAACCCCCACTGAGGCCAATGTGCACCTCATCCCAATGCAATATATGAATCTTGAACAGTTAGAAAAATATTTTCACTCATACAGAAATGATTTCTCGCAAATCATAGCAATCAGACCCACAGGATGGACATTTGTATCAGCCAAGAATAATTCCACTAAATGGATGAAAGAACTATCAAAGTCTCAGATACTGGCTCGAATTGTTAAAACGAAAAATGATGCCTCTAGATTTGACTTGGAGTCCATTGAAAAGCAGTTTAATAGCGATAAAGTCACACAAATATACCAAGTCCCCTACAGTGAGCATTCAAGTTTTAGAGAGCTCAGTTTTTTCAGTATTTTGTTGGAGCACACCAGAATAATCCCGACAGTGAACATGAACAACATGCAAAGCATCAAAAATATGGACGCCTGGATTTTTGAATGGCAAAAAGCAAGGGCTGCTCAACTAGTAACGATAGATGATTTCTAAGTATCTTCAAAAAAGAAAATGAATAAATCATATCTAACCTCAGGCGGGATTCGAACCCGCAATCTTCGCCTCCGGAGAGCGACGCGCTAACCATTACGCTACAGAGGCGATTTTACCAAAAAATAGATAGCATGTTTGCCCTAAAAGATGTATCTTATAGTCACGTGATTTAACTTTTCTTACACTTTACTGACCATTCTCCTCTTTCTTTCGAAGCACTCAGTTCACACCCTTCCATTTAAACAATTTGATATGAGTGTTAATATGACTAGATCCAGCTTTAGGATACTCAATTCTGCAATCAGAACACAGCCGCTCAAAAGAAATTTCATTGGGCCTAAATCGGGAATATTTTTGCCAACTTGTAACTTTTTAGGTGAAAGAAGTTTCCATATCAGTAGCATCAGAATCCAGCAGCAGCAGCAGCAGAAGAAGAACAGCTCAACAGGTCCCAGTCTGTTTTTACGTGTAAAAAATGCCGTCACTTTCACTGCATCCACTGCTTTGGTGATTGGAGCCCTTGGTTTGGCAGGGATATCACTATATCTGCTGTTCTCAGAATTGTTTCTTCCTTCTGGAGATACCACTACTTTTAACCATGCTGTCACGTTGGTCGAAAAGGATCCAGGAGCCCAAAAACTGTTACAAATCGACCCTGGCACAAGATTGAAGGCTTATGGTGAGGCAACTGGAGATAAGTGGACCCGCAATAGACCTTTGAGAACGTCTAGAAGAATAGGGAAAGACGGTTATGAGAGAATCTTGATGAGATTCCACGTTGAAAGCGATAATCAGGTAGGTATAGTATCCTTAGAGGCTGTTGATAAAACAGTGTTTGATCAAGAGTTTGCTTACGTCTACTTGGATGTCCCAGGTAAGAAGAGACACTATATTATTGCGCCGCAGTTGCCTAAAAAAACTGAGAATACCGGATTTTTGGGAGTTAAATGGGGCCCTAAGAGTAATTAACGAGAGAAGGTTAATGGTGGATGAAGATTAAATCATGAAAGGGGAACTGTTTACTCTAAGTAGATAATATTACTATGAACATAGCAATGAGGTTGACCAGAAGACTGGATTTGGAGATGATCTTGGCTGTAATGGCTTTGCTTTCGGATGTGTCTAAGTTGGTATTCTTCAACCTACTATCAACCAGGATTTTCTGGGGGGAGTCTCTATTCTCTGAACTAAACGGTTCCCCAGTTATTAAACGACTAATCTCTTGGACTGGTCCTAGTTCTTCCTTGCATCTAGTCCCTTTCAAAGTCTTAAACATAGCTAACGCTTCTAATGTGTTTGGGTAAGCATTGATACGACCATAACCTTCAAAATAGCATGCATCAGGCGTAGAATTATGATAGTTATAGTATAATTGGGCCACATATGACAGCTTCTGGGAGAAGGAGCAATCCGAAAATTCTCCGTACCAGCCAGTGGTTCCATTAGCAACAATATTGTGACAACTGATCTCTCCACAAATGTACCCCACTATTTGTGCCAGATCTGATCTATTCGGAACCTCTCCAATTGAGCATTTTAGAGCTGCCATCATGCAGTCACATTTTGGTGCCCTAGGTGTAGAAGGTAGTTTTTCAGATACTTTCCAATCTTCACTAGCCACAGGACATTGAATGTCTTTAGACCCATGAGGTGAGTAATCTTGTTTGTTCACCCCTTTAGGGGATGCATTCCTGTACTGTGCCTTCAGGAGATCAAAATCTGGTAGCTTCTCCACGGAGTCGGTGATGTAGTCGCCCTTGACTTTAACTACTCCGTACTCGTTTCTCTCTTCAAAATACATGTACATGATTGCACCTGACCAAACATTTGTCATGGGTTTGCTGAATATAGCTTCCACTTCTGTGAATGGCCTTGGACGTTTCAAGTTACAGCCAAATTCACTTAGAAATACAGGAACAGGATAATTTGCCATCTCTAAAGTTCTCTCCTTGTATCCTGATGTGGCATAAGATGAATAGCCGCACCATTCGTACATATTGATACCGAAAAAGTCAATCTTAGCCAAATCATTATCCCCACACACTAGATAGTTCGCCAAATTATTTCTAGTAAGAGAATCGTCGTTAGAAGAGTAACCAACCGGAATTTTCCTGATATTTTTTCGTTTGATGTAACCCTTTATATCTCTAATTGAACTTTTTACAAACGGCATTGTGTAAGTATTAGCAACATCCGTGTTGACCTCATTTCCAGCAAAAAAACCTAAAACATTGTCATAAGGAGCCATTGTATCGATCACAGAAGTATAGCAGTCCATAATTTCAAGATCCCAAGAGGGGTCGTCCCTATTGATAGAGCAATCAATGTTGGACAGGTCCAAAATGACATAAATCCCAGCTTCAGCTAGGCTTTCCATACAGACGTCATGATTAGCTCTTGGATCTATAGAGTAGACCCTGAGAGTGTTGACTCCTAACTCTTGTAGATATGACAAATCCCTGATGCAGATATCAGGCCAAGCCAGAGGGTCAACAAAATGTTTGCCGTTTCTAAAGTTCGCTTCGCATAGAGTTTGAGTCTTAGGAGCGTCTAGGTCGACTAGGGACTCAGGACGACGCAAATATTCCGTAAAATCTTGCTGATAAGCAATCCCTTTTATGAAGAACTGAGATCCATTGTTTGAATAAAAGAACTTAGATCCGTATGCTTCAATGGCAGGGGTCAATTTTCGAATTTTTTCCACTGTGGCGGGTGAAGCTATATGTTTAACGGAAGACGAAAACTCATAAGAGTCAGAGCCAAATGCAGTACCAAAGAGGATCAATAAGACAAAAAGACCTTTGAAACTCAGCATTTTGTCTTTAACAGGGGAAAGAATTGGCTATGGTGATTGCCCTTTTGTACCCCAGACTCTTGAGGTAGCGCCTCGCAACACGAAACTTGTTGTACGGATTTTCAAAGCAAGTGCCAAATCGTTGTGGAAGCACCATGTCGTAGAAATGCAGAGAATTCGTAAGAATGTGATGAATGCTTTGATTGCTTAGGCGCAAGTGGCCTACAAAGATGACAGAAGGAAATGCACCGGTAGTAAAAAGATGCAAAGGTCAAAGGCGAAAGTGGTTGAAGATAAATCATGTAGCGTAATCTGTTCCTAAATTCAATCCCTTCTCATAAAAGTTTAAACTTTTTCATCGCCAATGCTAAGTATTTCAAGTTGTAATCCCGTCCAAGAAGAAACTGGACCGTGGAAAACAACCCTGCCTTGAAATAGCATCCCATAGAATATCTCCATGTCGGATTTCTCCCAGATGGTACGCCAGATAATGCTTTTTTAGCCATACCAATGTCATCTGTGATAAGATTTACCCCACACTCCTTTACCAAGTAAGGGTCATTGATAGTCCAAAGGTAGAGTACCAAGCTATTGGAGTTGGCAAACTTTACCAGTTCAGTCCTATATCGTTGATGATACCAAATCAAATGCAGAAAGGAGATTCCGTGAAGTTTCCCTCCTTCTGCAGCCACGGTTTTGGCAAATTGAAATGATTTCTTTAGATCAACTGCAATATTGACCACATCAAATCCTTCCAAGAGCTCTTGATTCAATAGATAATAGTCGACAGACCAAAGACCAAATATGATCCTCTTTTTCCAGAAATTCACATCGCTATTTTTTTTGGTGAGTTCCTCTAAGATTAGGCGGATGATATCATTGGCGGGGTTGTCTCTCTTGATATCCAGCATGAGTTTGACATCTGGATAATCGGAAAGCCATTGCAGTACATCAGAGAACGTGGGCATTGGTTGTGGAGGATGCCGGATAGTCCTTAATTTGCTTAAGACGTCCTTATATGATGTTTTACACACATTATAGTCAGTTCCGAAAACTGCCTTGGTACTTTGATCGTGGATCACGACTAGCACTTGGTCTGAAGAGAGGTGAAGGTCTAACTCAACCATATCAGCGCCGTGATTAACTGCTTGATCAAAAGAAAGGATGGTATTTTCAGGAAACAATGTCCTATAGCCTCTATGGGCTCCAACAGTGATCGCCATTCTTCGGTGCAGTAGTGGAGGCGATGAGATGCGATGAGGTTTTATTTGACGGCATTGCGCGAAAAAAACCAGGACATGGGGGGACTGGGTTCGAGACTTTCTTCTACTGATAGCCTCTGAAGTTAAATCGACTCATCATCTTATAGAATAAAGTCAAAGCTCTGTGATCTGGATTAGGAAGGCCAATCAAGTGGTTGTGAATTCCCTTCTAGCTCTTCCATCTTACTCCCTGTTTGGCCAATATATCATCATTCTAGCCAGAAGATTGACAGTTGTAGTAAACTCAAGGCTGGTATAGTCCTGGTATAAAACCTTGAAAATGATTTATTTCACCATCCATGATCTTGTGGGACAGTAATAGAGGTTTAGATGCCATCAATCTGGTGTCCAAAAACGTTAGTCAGTTTTATTTTTGACTAGCCAGCCAAAACCATTAAAACGAACTGCAGTCGAAGCGTTGCGTCTTTTGATGATCGTCGATTCGTTGGTTTGAAACTCGTGCAGGCTCTAACACTTGCTTAGTAACGTCAATAAGTGTTGCACCTTTCGCAGCTTGGACACGGACATTAATCAACAACTTCGACGCACATTTGGACCCTATACTGGGGAATACACACCGTAAAAATATGAGTTTATGCCACTTTATGCCGGGTGTATATTGGGCTTCTTGAAATTTACTGGCTCAATTACTTCCTGTTCGGGATAGGTTACCTAAAGAAGTGACAACACTGTGAAATTTGAAAACACTGAAAGCACACTTTCGGTCCTATGAGAAGAGTATTAGTGGGGGTTGCAAGGATGTGTGCATTGTTTTCTGATCTGGAAACAGGTACTTAGGCTTTGTTATGCAGTTCGCCGGCGAATGATCGCTAAATCTGGCAAGGACTCCATGCACACTGTTGTTACTTTTGATGCAAAAGTGCGTTAGACTTAGGTCTGACGATAAATTACTCGATCAAGAATTCTACTTGGCTTTATTGCCGAGGAAAAAACTGGACGTTTCATCTGCCGGTCAACGATAAATTTATACTTTCTATCCTTTAGCCATACTATTGCAGCATTAGGGCACGTATTTGCTGTCTCTTGAGCTT